CCACCTGCGTTGCCACCTTCAGGGTACAATGGCCCTGAACACTCAGATCTCTCTGTGCATCAATTTTCCCCAGGGCTTTTCCATTTACCGTATAGTTCACTCTTGAATTGGATCTTCCAAAATGCATCACTTCACATTTGCCTGGATTGAACTCCATCTGCCATTTCTCCGCCCAACTCTCCAATCTATCTATATTCTGCTACATTCTCTGACAGTCCCCTTCACTATCTGCTACTCCACCAATCTTAGTGTCATCTGCAAACTTCCTAATCAGACCATCTATACCTTCCTCCAGATCATTTATGTATATCACAAACAACAGTGGTCCCAACACAGATCCTTGTGGAACACCACTGGTCACAGTACTCCATTTCCTTTGATATACTTGTATAATAACTTGGGGTTTGCCCTAACTTTACCCATCATGTTTTCTCATGTCTCTACTTTGCTCTCTCTTAAGTTCTCCCCACATTTTATATCCTCCACTAGGGCCTCTGTTGATTTGTGGGGAGGCAATGGCCTAGTGGTATTATTGTTAGACTGTTAATCCAGATAATGTTCTGGGGAACTGGGTTTGAATCCTGCCACGGTTGATGGTGGAATTTGAATTCAATAAAATATCTAGAATTAAGAGTCTACTGATGACCATGAAGCCATTGTTGATTATCATAAAAATCCATCTGTTTCACTAATGTCCTTTAGGGAAGGAAACAGCCATCCTTACCTGGTCTGGCTTACATGTGACTCCAGACCCATAGCAATGTGGTTGACTCTGAACTGCCCTCTGGGCAATTAAGGAAGGGCAATAAATGCTGCTTGGTCAGCAACACTCACATCCCATGAATGAATTTTTAAAAAATTGTTCCCTTTGTAATAGTTAAAATCTCCTTTTTTCCTTTTTATCTACTCCTGAATATTCCTAGATATCCAGGTTTCTCTGGGCTTGTTCCATTCTAAATGGAACATATTTGGCCTGTACTCACCACATTTCCATTTTGAACGTGGCCCCTACTGTTCTGCTCAAGATTTACCCTCATGTTGCTGTTTCTAATCTAATTCGGCTAGATCCTGCTTTACATTAAAAAAATTTGTCTTCTGCCAATTCAAAACCCTTTTTTGCAGATCGTCTTTTTCCTTTTCCATATAAACTTAAAATATATGGTGTTGTGGCCACTTTAAGTAAAATATTCTCCTACTGTCACCTCAAACACCTGTCTGGTGTTGTTCCCCAGAATTTCATCTAGCACTGCATCTTTCCTTGTTGGATCATCTCTATGTTGATACAAAGAGCTCTCCTGAATGCATTTCAAGAAACCTGCCCTCTCAACCCTTTACCATGATTATCCCAATTAATGTTGAGGAATTTGAAATCTCCTAATCACCGTATTATTATTTCTGCACACCTTTTTTTAAAATCATCTGTGGGACAGGGGTGTTGCTGGCTGGGCCCAGCATTTATTGCCCATCCCTAGTTACCCTTGAGAAGGTGGTAGTGACCTGGTTTCTTGAATTGCTGCAGCCTCAGTCAATTGTCTACATATCTGAAGTCACACTACACCAGGTTATAGTCCAACAGGTTTATTTGAAATCACGAGCTTTCGGAGCGCTGCTCCTTCATCAGGTGAAGTGGATGGAAGTGCACAGGCACAGAATTTATTGGCGGAAATTTATATTCCATACCTGTGTTTCCCTCCATTTCACCTGCCGAAGGAGCAGTGCTCTCAAAGCTTATGATTTCAAATAAACCTGTTGGATGATAACCTGGCATTGTGTGATTTCTGACCCTGTCCACCCCAGTCCAATACTGGCACCTCCACATCATGTCTACATATCTCAAACTCCATTGCCCACTGACTGGTAGGGGGTCTAAAATATGCTCCTAACAGTATGACAGCCCCTTTTCATTCCTAAATTCTACCCACAAAGCCTCTTTTGATGACCCTTCCAACATATCATCCCTCCTTATTCCAGTAATTGACTCCCTAACTAATAATGTGACACCACTTCCACTGATGCACCCTTCACTGACCTGCCTGAAGATCTTATACCTCAGAATGTTAAGTTGCCAGTCTTTTCCCTCCTTTAACCACATTTCTGCCATGGCAACAACATTGCAGTTCCATGTGTCAATTCACACCCTTAACTCATCTGTTTTACCTCTAATACACCTATCATGAAATATATTCTCATGTCCTATTAATAAATACTGTTTAACTGCATTCTCAAGTGAGGCTTTAGTGATTTATATGCCTGGATTTCTACTATTTGTTCATGGGATTTGTGTGGGTTTTGCTGACCTGGCCAGTACTTTTTTGCCTGTCCTTAATTGTCTGGAGAAGGTGGTGGGGAGTTGCCTTTTTGAACCACTTGGGGTATAGGGACACCCACAATGCTGTTAGGGAGAGAGTTCCAAGATTTTGGCCCAATGACAATAAAGGAATGGTGGTATATTACCAATTCAGCATCGAGAGTGACTTGGAGGGGATTTGCAAGTGATGGGATGCTCCACTATATCTGCTGTCATTGTCCAGTATTAGAGGTCAGCAACTTGAAGGTGCTGTTGCAGGAAGTTTGGGCAGTTACTCCAGTGCACCATGTAGATGGTACACACTGCCGCCACTGTGAATCAATAGTGGAGGAAGTGAATGCTGAAGGTGGCGGATGTGGTGCCAATGGGTAGTGTTGAGCTTCTTGAGTGTTGTTGGAGCCACCCAGAGTTTTCCATCACACTCCTGACTTGTACATGGTGGGTATACAGTGAGGTACAGTGTGTGTGTGTGTGTACCACACCCCAAACTACACTAATCTTGAGAGGTAGTAAATCTCTGTGAGTCTCATCATTTTAAGTTGCAACCTTCTGGCCCACACATAGTTGTCCAACTGTTGCACCACAAGCCTAGTAAGGCAAGGCTGTTTAATATATGCACAAACAACCTGCCAACAGTTATGTCTCACAAGTTCATCTACACGGACACACTAATTATGCCACCTAAGCTCCATCCTTCTGCACCCTGGTCCAGGTCTTGAACAGAAATTTTACAAAGTTGACAGACTATAGCTGCACATAGTGCCTCACATTGAATCTCTGAAACCAGATCCTGTCACAAGTGGTGAAAAAGAATTGCACCTCTACATAGATACCTGGAGTATTGCATACAACCTCCTTACTTGAGGAGGGATACAGTTGCATTGGAGGCAGTTCACAGGACATCAGTTCACAGACTGATTCCAGAGATGAGGGGGTTGTCATATGAAGCGAGATTGAGCAGTTTAAGCCAATATTCCCTGGAGTTTAGAAGAATAAGAGGAATTGAGGTGAGAAAGATGCTAAAGGGGATTGAGAAAGTAAACATGGAGAGGCTGTTTTCCCCTTATGGGGCAATCTCGAATGACAGGTCGATTTGCGTTGTCAGTTTATCTACATTCTTCTGAGTGCTTTGTGCATTAACATCCAAAGTGTTTAGGCTTGCGTTTTTTAATCACCCTAACTTTTCTTTGTATGTAGTCGACTTGCCTCTCACCCTTGATTACCCTGTCTGCCATTTTTGCATTTTAATATCTACCAGCAGATGTCTTTTGCATCAAAGAATGGGAAACATGGGAAGTTATCAAAAGCTCTCTGTGACAAGCCCATCTGTCAAATGGCAAGTTTCAAACTACAACAGTGAATGGTCCTTGCTCAGGACAGGGTCAGGCTACTTCTTTTAATATCCTGAGTTACATCCTTTCAGGTCCAGGGGACTTAGCAGTCTTCAACCCTTTAGTTTCCCTAGGATATTGTCTCTAGTGATAATTATTATATTAATTTACTCTCATCCTTTTGCCCCTTGAATATTTAGTAAATTTGGAATGCTAGTAGTAGTCTCCAACTGTGAAGACTGATGCAAAGTGTTTATTCCACTTCTCTGTTATCTTCTGATTCCCCATTATTATTTCCTAAGTGTTCGATGGGGACCATGCAGAGAGCATTTTAATAACTAGCCTGTAACAGGACACCAGGAAGTTATTAAGCCAAATTGGCCCAACCCCTCTGACCTTTCCTGCTCTAAGGAAAACAATGCCAGACTCTCCACATTCGTTGGTGTCCCTCATCCCTGGCTCTACTTGGATTATTCTCCTCTGCAGCATCTCCAAGGTGCTAACATCCTCCTTCACGTGCAGAGTTTAGAACTGAACATAATTCTTCAGCTTAGAACCAACCAGGTCTCAGGCTATAAAGGCACGGCTTTTGTACTCTTTACAGAGCAGTGAAGAAATTAAAAGGCTAAAAATCTGGAACATGAACCAAATGCAGCCAGTTCCTTGTTTAATGACAGCTGGCAAGCAATTTATTCTTAAGTGTCAATTCTGGAGAAGTCATACTGGACTTGAAACATAAACTCAGTTTCTCTATCCACAGGTGCTGCCAGACCTGCTGAGTTTCTCCAGCTTTCTCTGTGTTTGTTTCAGTTTTCCAGCATCCACAATATTTTATCTTTATTGCTGTTATGCATTGATTACATTGTCAAATTCTTTTAAGATGGCTCCGATCTTCCAATTGGACTATGATTATAATTTTAATTAGTAGCTGGGCACATCCCAGTCTTAGCTGGGGCCCTCTTGTGGTGCAGTGGTAGTGACCCTACCCTGAGTTAAGAAGGCCTGAGTTCAAGTCCCACTTGCTCCAGAGAGGTACAATAACATTGCTAAACAGGTTGGTTGGGAAAAAATAGGCCCCAGTCTCAGCTGTTGCTCTTTCCATGTCAAGGTGCTTTTGCAACCTGGAGGAGAAATTCATTGTTATAAAACCCATCTCCAGAATCATTTGACCCAATGGCCCATCTCTGACACTGATCACAGAGCCATGTTTTGAAAACCCCCACAAACTTGACAACTGCAACTTATATTTACATAACACCTTTACGTGTTGAAATGTCCTAAGGTGCTTCCCAAGAGCATCATGAAACAAAGTTAAGAGAGTCAGAGCCACAAAAGGAACGATGAGCTCCAATGACCAAAAATTTGGTGTAAGACACAGGCTTTAATGGAGGTAGGCGAGGTAGAAAAAGTGTTAAACTGCATCTCGGCCGTGAGTTTTTCTGGTGGGGTTCCTGCCTAAAACTCAGCCTCTATCAATTAGTCTTGAGCTGGTTTTGCAGACACAACCATACCTCAAGCCCTGCTCCAAAACTGCTTCCCGGTATCAGTCTCTTTGCATTTTGAAATCCATACATTTAAATCTCAACTTCTCTGCTAATCACCAACCACTCGGCTACTTCTGTTAAAACCTCAATCAACACCACCTTCAACAATGTTAAATACATCTTATTTATTAACCAATATTTTTCCAGATTTTTTTCTTTAAGAATTTTGTCACTGACCTTAAACTAACTAACCTGTAAATTCTGCTTATTCCTCTCTCCATTTGAACAAAGAGGATCCATCTGTATGACCCCATTTCTCTGTTCCAATCAGAATGTCCCTTACCTGCTACTCCAGAGATTGTGAACCACTGGTCGCTGATCAAAGGAAGTTTGAGATTTGACTTTGGCTACCTTTCGTAATTGCTGTTAGAATATTAAATACAAATGGCCTGGACTTGCATGTAGAATGTGCAGTGTTAGTCTGTGAATGGTATAAAAGTTTGCAATGTAGTAAACAGAGAGCAGGACAAGAGATTTCTGAAAGATGTGCAGAATGGTGAAATGGGCAGATACATGGCATACATAGTTAATACATTGAGTGTGACGTAATGGAGTTTGGAAACATGGAAACGTAGTAAAATCTAAATGGCTCCATTTTGATAGGGTGTAAGCCAAAAGAGACCTGGGGAAAATACTCGCAAATCTTTAAAAGTGACAGGAAATAAGAAAGTTGAAGAAAATGTATCGGAGATGCAGCTTTGTAAACACGAGTGCTAAACAAATGAATAAGGAAGTCATGATACACCTTTACAGATCATTGGCGAATTTTGCACAATTTTGGGCATTACATCTCAGAATTGTCAATATCTTGAAGACACCTGTAAGCAGTTTCACATTAGCACCTACACTGGGTGAGCTGCATTTTAGAGGCGCCATCTTTCAGATCTGTTCTCATAACTGGATGTAAAAGATCCTACAGTATTCTTCTGAAAATTAGGCGAGGTCTTCCCAGTGTTGTGACCCAATACTCAACCCTTGACCACCATCACTAAAACACAACCCTGGGCACTAGTACATTCCTGATGTGGGATCTTCTTTATAAATTGGTTGCCACATTTCCCACATTACAACAGTGACCACATTTCAGAAGTGCTTCACTGCCTGTAAATGTTCTTTGGTCATCTTCAGACCATAAAAGGTGCTATAGGGGTGCAAGTCTTCTTTTGCACTCTCTGCGCATTGCAGAGATGTCATCACTTTCTTAACCAGGGCAGCTGAGATCAGTTACAACTCCCACTGCCACACTAGATGGGATCAGCAAACACGTGCATATGGGTCAATGCCACATTGAGTTAGATCGGTTCATTCAGCACATGCTGGAGATGCATTCTGGGTCTTTCAGACTGTGTGGTGTTCAGTACCACATCAGGCAAAGCATTAATAAGTTGAAGAAAATCTAGTTAATAATTTTAATGTTCTTAGTACTACGTTAACATTGTTGCTCATGTAATGAAGACGGGCATATGTAGGATTGCCTACCCATTGAACAGGGGCTGTTTGGACCAGGGACTGAGATGCAGCATCACTGTGCACTAAGGAAAAGGGTTCGGCAGATGGCAGTACAACACATATTGAGGGACTAGGTAGGAATTGGGGGAAGTGCAATGCCACACAATAAGGGTCATATCAGGTCTTTCTAAGTAACCCAGTAATCCACAGGCTAGCTGCTGCCACTAGCTCTCCCTTAGCAGCTCAGCTTCTGTGACCTGCGATGTACTCTGTCCTTTATGCACCTGCTGCAGCTGTTCATTTAGACCAAGCTCTGTGTCCATCTGATCCAACTCCCCCTGGTCCAGCACCTCAAAATCATCCACTTCGTCATGAGATTCTACTTCTCTCAGGTCCAATTCCATCGATCCTGCCCGGGAGAGGGCCTGCTGTGATTCGGTAGAAAGGAATTCTGAGCTCTCAGACTGGTTTCCTGTCAGCGGGTTAGAAATCAGGGCGCACAGAGTATTCTGAACCACTGTAGTAATTGCTGACGTTACAATCTCCTCAGTGAAGGCCTCGAGACTCAAGCTTAGAACAGAGGCTTGGCCAGTCTGTGGTGTGTTCATAGTTGTCCCATTCCCATTAAAATGTGTATTTACAAAGTGCAGAGGGGAGCTCAGTGTCTGAATGAAGGATTGAGAGTCCTGAGTGCTACAGGTCTCTGGCGATAGCCCTGTCGAAATCTGAGAGGGGCTTCCATCGCCAGATAAGTCCTCTACCGAGGGAAACTCCGGCAGGTCTTTCGCAAAAGCTTCTTCTGGTTCGCTATGCAGGCTCTGCTGATCCAGATCTGAAATCAAAGGAGGGTAATGACAAAATCTTACTGCACACAAGGTCATTCATCTGTGTGCTGGCTTTCTGAAGGAGCCATACATTAGACCCTCACTCCTCGCTCTTTACAATAGCCTGGAAAACATTTCTCTCCCAAGAATGTGGGATGAAATGAGAAATGTTTTGAAAGACATGAAATGGATTCAGTTGTAACCCTTGCAAGTGATGGGATAGATATGAAGGGGAGGGCATTTACAATATCAATGGGAAGGAGCAAGGGAAAACAATGAATGGGACTGATTTTTCACAGCAGAGGCATGATGGGCTGAACAGCCTCATTCTGTAGTAAGGGATTCTGTGAAGATACAAGCACATTGCAGAGGCTTGATTTACCTTCTGACACATCTGTGAGTTGTGGAGTTGCTCCCCGGGACATCGAGAATCCTCCACTTTCCAGAATGGAAGCCTCTTCATCTGACAGCTCAGAGTCGGTGATTGCCAAAGCCAGAGCAGTTGTCCTGACATCAACCTATGACAGAGAAACTCTCACACTCAGTGCTTCAGTCAAAAACACAGGGGCAGCAGAATGAGTCCCTCCTGTTCCTAGTTTCTATATTTACTCCCCAACTTTGCCTACATTTTGGAAAGTCTAATCTAGATGGAAAATATACAGCAAATGGCAGAACCCTTAAGAGTACTGGTCAGTACTAACCCAGTTCTGAGGAAGGGTCACCGGACCCGAAAAGTTAACTCTGTTTTCTTCTTCACAGATACTGCCAGGCCCGCTGAGCTTTTCCAGCAACTTTGTTTTTGTCCCTTAAGAGTACTGATATGCAGAGGGGTCTGAGTGCACAGGTACACAGGTCATTGAAAGTGGCAACGCAGGTGGAGAAGGTAGTTAACAAGGCATATGGCATGCTTGCCTTCATCAGCTGGGGCATTGAGTTTAAAAATTGGCAGGTAATGTTGCAGCTTTATAGAACCTTAGTTAGGCTACATTTAGAATATTGTGTTCAGTTCTGGTCACCACACTGCCAGAAGGATGTGGTGGCTTTGGAGAGGGTACAAAAAAAGATTTACTAGGATGTTGCCTGGTATAGTGGACATTAGCTCCAAGGAGAGGTTGGAGAAACTTGAGTTGTTCTCACTGGAACGATGGAGGTTGAGGGGGGACCTGATAGAGGTCTACAAGATTATGAAGGGCATGGACAGACTGGACAGTCAGAAGCTTTTTCCCAGGGTGGAAGAGTCAGTTACCAGGGGCCATGGGTTTAAGGTGCGAGGGGCAAGGTTTAAAGGTGATGTACAAGGCAGGTTTTTGACACAGAGGGTGGTGAATGCCTGGAGCTCACTGCCGGGTGGGTAGTGGAAGCAGATACTGTAGTGACTTTTAAAGGGCGCCTTGACAAATATATGAATAGGATGGGAATAGAGGGATACGGTCCCCGGAAGGGTAGTGGGTATTTAGTTGTGACGGGCAGCATGTCGGTACAGGCTTGGAGAGCCGAAGGGCCTGTTTCTGTGCTGTAATTTTCTTTGTTCTTTTTCTTTGTACACCTCTCCCTCCTGACCTCAAACCCTTTCTGCCTACTTCATCCCCACCTCACTCCCAAATACTTTACCCTGACCTCACCACTAAAATTCCCAACCTGATCCCCTCAAACACAAACCTCAACCCTTTCCTGACCTCACTACTCCAAACGTCTTCTCCAACAGAATTAAATGATCCCATAACCAACAGATCAGATCTTAGCTCTGCAGTCCAACTGTGGTGAATGATTAAACAACTCTCTGGAGGAGGAAACTCTACAAATATCCCCACCTTCAATGATGGAAGAACCCCGCACATTAGTGCAAAAAATAAGGTTGAAGCATTCGCAGCAATCTTCAGCTAAAAGTGGCAATCAGAGGATCCATCTCGGCCTCCTCCAGTGGTCCCCAGCACTGCAGATACCAGTCTTCAGTCAATTCAATTCACTCCACATGATATCAAAAAACAGCTGGATGCACCAGATACTGCAAAGACTATGGGCCGTGACAACATTCCAGCAATAATACTAAAGACTTGTGGACAAGAACTTGCCACTTCCCTAACCAAGCTGTTCCAGTACAGTTACAACACTGGTATCTATCTGACAATGTGGAAAATTGCCCAAGTATGTCCTGTGCACAAAAAGCAGGTCAAAACCAATGACCAATTACTTTCTCATCAGCCTACTCTCGATCATCAGTAAAGCGATGGATGGTGTCATCAACAATGCTATTAAGCAGTACCTACTCAGCAATAACCTGCTCAGTGATGCCCAGTTTGTGTTCCATCAGGGACATTCAGCTCCTGACCTCATTACAGCTTGGTTTAAACATGGAAAAAAGAGCTGAATTCCAGAGTAAGATAAGACTGACAGCCCTTGGCATCAAGGGGCTCCAACAAAACTGCAGTATAAACCAATCAGAGGGTAATCTCTCTGCTGGTTAGAGTCATACCTGGCACACAGAAAGGTGGTTGTGGTTGTTGGAGGTCAGTCATCTCAGCTCCAGGACATTTCTGTTCAGGTTCCTCAGGATAGTGTTGGAGGCCCAACCATCTCCAGCTGTTTTTCTTTAATCAATGGCCTCCATTGATCGTAAGGTCAGAAGCGTAAATATTCACCGATGAATACACTCCCTCCAAAACTGTCCATAATTTCAAGGCACCATTTGATTGAATGTGGCAACAAGGAGCCCTGGCATAACTGGTTTCAATGGGAATTGGAGAAACTCTGCTGACTGGAGTCATACCTGGCAAGTAGGAAGATAGCTTTGCTTGTTGGAAGTCGATTATCTCAGCTCAAGACATCTCTGCAGGAGTTCCTCAGGACCCAATTATCCTCAACCGCTTCATCAATGACCTTCCCTCCATCATTAAGTCAGAAGTGGGGATGGTCACTGATGACTGCACAATGTCAGCACCAATCAGGACTCCTCAAATACTGAAGCAGTCCATATCCAAATGCAAGACCTGGACATTGTCCAGACTTGGTCTGATCAGTGGCGTAGGCAACATTTGTGTCATGTATTCACCACATCCAACAGAATCTAACTACATCCCTTTGACATCCAATGTTATTACCATCAGTGAATCACCCACTATCAATGGAAACTAGCATTGATCAGAAAATGAACTGGACTAGCCAATATAAATCCTGGATACAAGAGCAGGTCGGAGGCTGGGAATTCTGTGGTAAGTAACTCACTTCCTGACTACCCAAAAGCCTGTCTGCAATATACAAGGCACTTGTCAGGAGTATGATGGAATATTCTCCAGTTGCCTAGATGAGTGCAGCTTCAACAACAGTGAAAAAGCTAGACACCACCCAACACAAAGCAGTCACTTAACTGGAACCAGATTCATTATCTTTAACACTCACTCCCTTCATCACTGAGATGCATCTACAAGAGGCACTGCTGCAATTCCTTAAAGACCAAGATTCCTTAGACAGCACCTTCCAAACCCATCACCATCACCATCCAGAAGGACAAGGGCTGCAGATACATAGGCACCACCTGCAAGTTCTCCTTCAAGTCACTCACGATTCTGACATGGAAATATATCACCGTTTCTTTGTTGTTGTTGGGATAAAATCCTAAAACTCCCTCCATTGTGGATGTACTTGGTGCACACACAGTGTAGCGGTTAGATTCCAGCTCACCACCACCTGCTTAAGGGCAGTTAGAAATGGGTCTTGTCAGTATTCCCTACATCTCATGAAAGAATATAAAAATATTCTATCTTACACGCATTAGGACTCGGATGCAAGAAACCAAACTTCAAAAAGGAACACCAATTTATACAGCACGAGAAGAGAATTCTAATGGTTGGACTGAGGTTGACTTAAGAGTTGCAATAAGGAACTGTTAACTGTCAATGGCAGTTAGATGATTAAGCTCACAGCAGGCAGGCAGACTCTAATTGATCAGGTTGATGCTATGGCGCTTGCAGCAGAAATTGGCAGTCTCCATAACCCTTTCTCACGGAAGGTGCTATGTGGGCAAAGACTACTTTAACTGCACTGAATAGGGTCCTGTGTGTGAATATAGTAGCTTCAGGCAAGCCTGCCTGACATTCTTAAATTCGGTTCTGGTGAAATTCTTATCACAGTCCAGATTATTTAAAGTACATCTAATGCTGTACACTATGTTCTGAATTAACACACGATAAACGTTTTCAAGTGGGAGGTGGTAGTGTAGTGGTAATGTCACTCAACTAGTAATTCAGAATCCCAGGCTAACATATGGAGACATGGATTTGAGTCCCACCATGGCAGATGGTGAAACTTGAATTCAATAAAAAATGGAATTAAAAGCTTGTCTAATCACAATCATGTTGATGGCTATAAAAACCCATCTGATTCACTAACTTCCATTGAGGGGAGCGAAATCTGCAGTCCTTATCTGGTCTAGTAATATGGTAAACTCTTAACTGCTCTCTGAAATGGCCAATATCAAGCCACTCAGGTCAAGGGGCAATTAGGAATGGACAATAAAGCTGGCTTTGCCAGTGCCACTATATCCCATGCAAAAATAATAAAAAAAAGCATCCTCACCCCATTCAAGCAGGAGCAGATCCCAGTGCATCACTGGCTCCTATTAACTACAAATGCACCTATATCTCGCTTCTGTTGTTGCTCAGATCCTGTCTCATTCTGGAGACAGTCTAGTGTGAGCAGAGTTTGGGAGTAACTGGCTGATGGACGTTACAGCCTTGATTTGATTTGATTTATTATGGTCACTTACTGAGTTACAGTGAAAAGTATAGTTTTGCGTGCTATCCAGACGTTACATAAGAATGCAGAAACAGAACTTCTGTATAGTGTTACATACGCCAGGTAGTTGGAAAATCTCAACATGCAATCAGACCAGCTCCTTTGATACCTATAGCAGTTTCTGAAGAGTGTTAGCGGATTGTGTATGATCACTACCAAAAATGAAAGCAGGATATCAGGATATCCTTACAATTATGAACATGACAACCCAATTCCCAGAAGCTATTACTTAAATGACCATTACAGCTGGAGTTAAGGTGGAGAAGTCTTTTTTTAAACTAGTTATGAACTACCAATTGAGTTGTAGTCTGATCTGGGTTCTAACTTTAGGTCTAATGTTTTTGAGGAAATCATTATCAGTTCAGTACAAAACAATTTACGTCAAGTACGTATCATCCTTCAACAAAGGGAACTTTGGAGAGATCCCATCAGACTCTCAAAATAATGAATAAGGCAAACTGTCACAAATGTCCACAGGACTGTGATAAAGGAATAGATTTCTTATTATTTGCCATCAGCTATTACCCAAATTAATCTGAGCAAGTTTTGAGGAAGGGTCACCAGAACCGAAATGTTAACTCTGATTTTTTTCTTCATAGATGCTGCCAGACCTGCTGAGCTTTTCCAGCAACTTCTGTTTTTGTTCCTGATATCAAGCACCTGCAGTTCTTTTGGTTTTTTTTTACCCAAATTAATCTACTGGGTTTAGCCCATTTAAACTGATCTAGAGCATAAGAGCATATGAAAGTTTCACATGTGAAATGTAAAAAACGGGCAGACAAACATTCAGCAATGAGTGTGTTCTAAGTAGGAGGTAAAGTATTGGTATAGTTGTCTTTACAAGGTGAACCTTTGAAAGCGAATTTCAGTGGTCCACTTTTTTTATTTATTCATTTGTGGGATGTGGGCATCACTGGCTGGGCCCAGCATTTATTGCCCGTCTTTACTTGCCCTTGAGAAGGTGGTGGTGAGCTGCCTTCTTGAACTGCTGCAGTCCTCCTGCTGTAAGTTGACCCACAATGTCCTGAGGGAGGGAATTCCAGGATTTTGATCCAGCAACAATGAAGGAACGGCAATATATTTCCAAGTCAAGATGTAGAGTGGCTTAGAGGTAACTTGTAGTCAGTGGTGTTCTCATGTATTGGCTGCCCTTGTCCTTCTTGATGGAAGTGATCGTGGGTTTGGAAGGTGCTGTCTGAGGATCTTTGGTGAATTTCTGCATGAAGTAGTTCAGAGAGTTAGTGAAGTGACTTATCTGATAAATACTCCTGATAGTCGTAAGAAGATTGGTTTTGTCACAAACATGCTGAAAAGGTATAATTGCAGGGAGAGAGGACAAGGAGGACTAAGTCAGTCTGGAGCTAACGGTGGTGAAGAGGTAATAAGATTAAGTGGAAGAAGAGGCAGACAGATCTCAAAATGAATAAATTCTATTAGCCAACACAGAAATGTTACGGCAATTATCTGCTGTGTTCCACAGTTAGGGAAAGGACAAGACAAATTTTTAGAATTCACTCATGGCATGTGCACATCACAGTCTGGGCCAGTATTGCCCATCCTTAAGATGGCCATTGAGAAGGTGGCGGTCAGCTGCCTTCTCGAACCACTGCTATCCATAATGTGTCAGGACACCCACAACGCTCTTCAGGATGGAGTTCTAGGATCCGACCCAGCGGCACCGAAAGAACGATGACATATTTCCAAGTTTGGATGCCGAGTGCCTTGGAGGGAAACCTGCAAGTGGTGGTGTTCTCATTTGTTTGCTGCCCGTGTCCTTCTAGATGGCAGTGGTCATAGATTTGAAAGATGCTGTATAAGGATCTTTGGTGAATTTCTGCAGTGCATCTTGTAGATAGTACACACTACTGCTATTGAGCGTTGATGGTGGAGGGAGTGGATGCTCGTGGATGTAGTGCCAATCGAGCAGGCTACTTCGTCCTGGATGATATCAAGCTTTTTGCGCATTGTTGGAACTGCACCCATCAGGCAACTGGGGAGTATTCCATCACATGCCTCACTTCCCCACTTACATTCCACCTACCACTTCTTTGCCCACTTTCCCAGCCTGTTCAAGTTCTTCTGCAGCCTCCCTACTTCCTCAACACTACCTGTCTCGTCACCTATTGTTGTGTCATCTGCAAAGTTAGCAGCAAAGCTCTCGGTTCTTTCATCCAGATCGTTAATGTGTAACGTAATAATAGTTGTGGTCTAAACACTGACCACTGAGGAACTTCACTCGTCATCAGCTGCCATCCCTTTGGTAGGAAGAATAGAGGCTTTTGGCACTTGGTAGGAAGAATAGAGGCGTAGACTATTTTCTAAATGGGAAACAGGTTTGGAAATCTGAAGCAGAATCCTAGTTCAGAATTTTAACATTAACACAAAGGTTCAATTAACAGTTAGGAAGGGAAATGTGGGGGAAGCAATGGCCTAGTGGTATTATCACTAGACTACTAACCCAGACACCCGGGTAATCTGGAGATCTGGGTTCAAATCCTGCCACAATAGATGGTGGAATTTGAATCCAATGAAGAAAAATCTGAAATTAAGACTCTGATGATGACGAATATGTTATTAATGTTGGAAAATGCCAGCTGGTTCAGTAATGACGTTTAGGGAAGCAAGCTGTCATCCTTACCTGGTCTGGCCTATATGTGACTCCAGACCCACAGCAATATGACTGACTCTTAAACTGCCTTCTGGGCAAGGAATGCCAGCCGAGCCAGCAATGCCCTCATTGTGCGAATAAATAAAAGAAAATGCAATGTTTGTAATCATTTCAAGAGCGCTAGAATACAAGAGCAGGGATGCATTTCTAAGACTAATCAGACTGCATTTGGAATATTGACAGCACTTTACGTTCCCGTATCAAAGGATGGATGTGCTGGCATTTGAGTGGTTGCAGAGGAGGTTGACAAGAATGATCCTGGGAATGAAGAATTTATCAATATGAGGAGCAGTTGAGTGCCTTTAAGACAGAGATAGATAGATTCTTGATTTGTAAAGGGTTTAAAGGTTATGGAGGGAAGGCAGGAGAAAGGGGTTGAGAAATCTATCAGCTATGATTGCATGGTGGAATGGACATGATTGGCCAAATTGCCAAGTCTGCACCTATGGTCTTTTCCTTCTTATCCAGTTCTGAATACTCTGGGATATTCAGGGTTCTCTGGGCTTGTTGCTCCTTAATTTGAAAAAGTTGGGTCTTCACTTTTGCTGATTCCATTCTGAATGCTTCCCATGGTTCTGCTTTGGATTTACCCTCAACTAGCTGTTCCCAGTCTATTTTGGCCAGATCCTGTGTTATTTCAATAAAATATGCCTCTCCCCAATCCAAAACCCTTTTCTGCAGCTCATACTTTTCCTTTTCCATAATAAACTTAAAATGTACACTGTTGTTATCGCTATCACTAAAATACCCTTCCAATTCAAGTCGTCATAGTCTCACCAGACCATAGGGCTGCTCTCGTTACAGAGAGACGACTGGTGGTGATTTAAACTGAGATTGTAAATGGTATGGATAGAGTGGAAAGTATGAGGCTTTTTCCCAGGGTGGAGGAGCAAATTACTAGGGGACACAGGTTCAAGGTGTGATGGGGGGGCGGGGGAGGAGAGAGGGAGAGAGAGAGAGTTTAAAAGAGACGTGAGGGGCAAGTTTTTCACACTAAAGGTGATGAGCAAGTGGAACACATTGCCAGAGGAGGTGGTGGAAGCAGACACAATAGCAGCATTCAGGAAGCACCTGGACGAATACATGAATACGAAGGAAACAGAGGGATATGGATCCTATAAGTGAAGACAGTTTTAGTATGGAAAGGCAAAATGGGTCAGCACAGGCTTGGAGGGCTGAAGGGCCTATTCCTGTGCTGTAATGTTCTGAGAGTCTAATAATGACCATGAAACCATTATCAGTTGTTGGAAAAACCCATCTGGTTCACTAACGTTCTTTAGAAAAGAACACAGCTGTACTTACCTAGACTGGACTGCATAGTACCAGATTCTAAAGGCAACACATTAACACTTTCACTCCCACACTTATCAAACTGCCATGGTCCACTCACCTACTTAGAAAGTATGAAGTAATTTGTGGAAATATATGTCTATGCATCTGGATGTACTACGTTATCCAGACATGATGTAGTGGAAGGTGATTGCCTGGTGTTGCTAGACTATTAATCCAGAGATTCAAATCTCTCCATGGCAGATAGTGGGATTTGAAATTCAATAAAAAAAAACATGGAATTAATAGTCTAA